TATATATATATATATATATATATAATGTACTAAATTGTAACTTCAATACAAATATTTAATTACAAATATATTTAAATACGACATAAAAGTTTCAATAGAAATGACATTAAAGTATATTTTAGATACCATAAAAGCTTGTCAGCCAATCATTTTGTAACTAGCCATTATCAGCCATTGTAAGTTGGCTTACATATCAGAAGGATGTGAACCATCTGAGACCGAGATTATGAATTTCACTTACAGAAATGGTTTTCCAGTCACCCTCTAGAAAGTTCCTCAGTGGTGTGAGGAAGTTAATAGCTGACATATGTAGGAATTCCCGCTCTGCTCCACCCAACCTCCGCTGAAACTCTCCAACAGTGATCAAAGTACTACCTGAAAACATGCAAAACATTCACAAAGCATTATGTGCAACTTAGCATTGCACTGACATTTTCAATCTTTTCCTGTGAAGTAATTTTCAAATGTGTTTAACTAATCAAGGGGTATGAAGGTATCTTCATCAGAGACCTAAATTCACAAAATGAAACACTCTGCATCTTTAGACATGCTCTGATGCTGCTTTGATTCTCTGTAAATGAAACATGTTTTCATTTGTTTTTTTCATGTCTTTACATGGATAAAGTCTTATTTACCTTGGCAGTGGTCATGAATTTTAATTTTCTTTTTAATGTTGACATCTAAGAGTGCAATTATATAAATCTTTTTAAGCAGCATTGCTATAATTATAATATATAAAGTTCTAATATAAATACAAACAAATGTTATAACCTCATAATAGTTAAGAAAAAAAGTAAAATCACAGGATCTAATACACTTTCCCTCAGTAAATTCTAACCTAAAAGTATCCAAGAACATCTATTTGCCAAAGGGAAAGTGTGCCATCTAGTGAAACAAGGCATGCAGCTAAACATTAACTTGATTTAGAGATCTGTATTACTGTAGCACACTGTCACAGCAAAAAGGGAGAAGAGAACATGTGCAGCGGCAATTCCGCCTCATATGGTGCATCACATAAATAAAAAATGTAAAAAAAGAGCATAAACTGGTATGCACTGGCTTCTAGTACAGACTTCTATTCTAGACTTTGATTATGTGCAATCCGCTTTCTATTGTTTCTTATTATTTCTTAGTTAGGAAATATGTAGCCATTTTATCTTAAAGGGTGTGAAATAAAAAGCGCCCATCCATAAAAAAAATGTCTCACACGGCATTATAATCACATAATAATCACTTTAATGTAGCTTGCGCCAACAGTCCTACATGGAAGCAGCTCCGGGCTGATGATGTATGATCAGTGCTGCGCATGCGCCGGTGAGTCTCGTGAAAACCAACGAAGGTGGGACCCATTTTTAATATATATGGGCTTAGATATATCCTCTATTCTTATTAGAGGGTTTGTTTAATGAGGTTTAAATATGTGAGACATATTGGAGTACAAATATGTAAGGCATATTGTTGGTACGATTATGTCAATATTTCATTTCATTCTCAAATTGATTTAATGGAGTGGTGAGCCATAAATTATTTTTATTTATTTTTTCTTGTTCGATTTTAAGTTATGTTTGTAATGTTTGAAAATTAATAAATATATATAATAAAAAAAATAAATAACTTTTGGCTTTTCTGTGTGTTTTTTGATTAAAAACAATCCAAAAAAAAGAAACATACGAACCATACGGAGTTCCTGGCCCAAATTCCTTTGCTGCGTCCTGCATATACTGCCCCAGCAGCTCTGCATTGGTGGTTCTGGATGGGATCTTTCTGTCCAATTTCTCATAAAAAAACTCTTCAATACGCGCACCTAAATAAAGAATTACATCAGACTTTATTTAGGGTTTACTCCAGTAAACTTAATCAAGTAAACCATTTTGCACCATCATGCTTACCAATCCAAACCAATAGTTCACAGTCAGCAAATTGAGGGTAATAAAATTGATATTATATATAATTATATACAATATCACACTGGTATACATATTGGTTTACATTTCTTTATGTATGAATTTAATTAAGATTTATAGCTTAAAATGCATGTTACTTTCTTTGCTTCTCAATATCTAATCATAAAAGTTTAAAAATATTTCACCAACCATTTACAAATTTTCGGGATACTTTCATTGTAGTATTCTGAACATTGTTTCGAGAGACCATAAAGCAAAAAAAGATGAACGAAACACAGGTCTTTGATGTAGACATCACGGATGAAAACATAAAACCCATGTGTGGTTGTAATAAAAAATGTGATAACAACAGTCTTTGAACAATCATTCCAGCTCTCTGTGTTGCCAGCAGGATTTGAAGAGACCTCACAGATTTGAAAACCACATCTGGTTAAGATATTCAGATGATTGAAAAACAGGTGTTTAAACTTGTGTCTGGATAAACCACAAGACATTCACCCAAACTCAGCCGCAAAAGGATAGTACTACCATGACAAAAACATAGTGAGAAGAGCCAGCCTCACACATTGGGTCTAATACTAAACATCTGTCATTTGAGGAAGGAATTAAACTGAAGACCTAAAGCACAGGACACGGGGAGTAGAGACACACTTACCAGTTTGGTCAACTGGAGCATGGAGAGAGTTAGAAAGAACAGGTTAGTGTTCTTATTAGTACTAACGCTTAAATATGCTTATTAAACACTTAAATATGTACATGAAAGTTACTGTCATCAAAGATAAGCTTTAAAGTGCCCCTATTATGGATTTTTGAAAATTACCTTTCATGCAGCGTGTAACACAGCTCTAAGTGAATGAAAACATCCTGCCAAGTTTTAAATCTGAAAGTGCACCGTGTATAAAGTATTGTCTCTCAAAAGAAAGAATCGACTCTGAATCATTGAAACGAGTCGTTTTTAAAGCGAATCCCAAGCCGTTTCATTTTGACGTCAACATGAAACATTAGCATATTTTGAAACAGAAGCCCACTTGTTGGTCTTTTCGAGTTGGTCTGAATGAAAATAGAAATGTATTCTTTGCCACTAGGTGCCACTTTTGGAGCGGTAAAAATAGCTGTTTCCCTGGTAACGCTGTACACAAAGCAGCACTGTGCTCACAAATGCTGCTTTATCAGGCATTACAGGCATGATGAAATGAAAATGAGACCAATTGGACCAATCACCGGCGATTAGCATCGCGCAACTGAGGGGTTTGGAAAAATGAATCGTTAAACGAATCGTTTGGGAGTCGTTGAGCAAATAAGGTAAAAAATAAATGCATATTATAAGACAATGAAAGTGTTTTTTTACCTGCATGCATGTCAACCTGTTGTTGGGGACCCCCTAAAACCAAAATATTAACTTTTCATAACCCATAATAGGGGCACTTTAAAACATCTGAAACCTGTGGCCTCATCAATGATTCAGAAATTATAACCGAACGAGTATTGATATAAAATGTTTCATGTTGTTTATTCATTTGTGAGCTGCCAACATAAAATGCTAATTTTACGAAATGCGATATACACTACCATTCAAACATTTGGAGTCAGACAGATTTTTTAATGTTTTGAAAGAAGTCTCTAATGCTCACAAAGGCTGCGTTTACTTGATTAAAATACAATAAATCTGTGATATTGTAAAATATCATGACAATTTAAAATAACTTTCACTTTTTCCTGTGGTGGCAAAGTGGAATATTCAGCAGTAATTACTCCAGTCTTCAGTGTCACATGATCCTTCAGAAATCATTCTAATATAATTAATATAAAACATTTGAACAGTAGTGTAATTAAGCAAAAGTTTGTAATCAGACATTTTTATCCAAAGTGCCTTACAGTACAGTATCCTGCTCAAGAGCACAGTAATGATTAACAGCTCAGATTTCAACTGTTACGCCAGTTTGCTGTACATCAAGAAGAAGAGAGAAAATAAAAATCAAGGGTGCAAAGACAATACAGTACATTCACATAATGTGACACCTGACAAAGTGACACCTGAGTACCACTGCTGTTTTAAGATGGTTGTTCGGCATCATATTTCCCTGGCTGCCCCTACAGGAATATTTCACTTCTGGAATCTTTCACGCAGATGCAAAGTGGTGTAATCAAGCAAATGGTGACATTAAAGCAGATTGATATCAACAAAGAGATGTTCCTGTTGTCAACAACATGAGACATTTTTCAACATTTAAGAGACAAGACCACACATTTCAAACAATATCTAATAACGGAATATTTTCCTGAAGAAAATGTAATTCAGAGGCTTAGGTAGATGCAAAACGTAGGAAGATTTTAAACGTATAACTCCCATGTAGATTCTTACTTGGGTTGGGTTGAAGCAGCACCTCGGTCTGTCTGAAGATCTTTTCGGTCCAGTTTTTGGTGCAGTCCGCTCGAGCTATCAGGTTCTCCAGATGGGCATCAAGTTCAGTCTTTTCTGCCTGGCCAAGCTTCTCCTCTGTGTACTGGAGAACATACAAAACAATTCAGTCTGTCTGTAAGAGCAGCACTCCAAACCAGATGTACAACAACGTAGGCAATATTAGCTGTTCTTTCTGAGGGACAAGAATATGCATGCATAATTTCTAGGGTTGGGTTTTGACACAAATTTCACGATTCGATTCGATTCTCATTCACAAGCTTGCGATTCAATTTGATTACCAATTCGATTCAATATCGATTATTTTGGATATATATCAGGTACAGTACATGCCAAATTTTCTCGAGGAAAAAAAAATCTCTCAACCAATGCTGTAAAATATACATGAGAGTCAGTTGGTAGTACTACATTACTATAATATTGAAGGTTAAAATTGACTGATTTGTTAAAATTACACTTAATGAAGTTTTTAAAATAATAAAGTTACAATTACATAATAATATTTCTACTCATGGACCGCGTCACCGCAACAAAGTGCTCGTTTAAAAGCAGGGCACGGTAGACGTAGGCTCCACAGCTAGATGAATTAGTATAGAAGAAACCCTATGAGTACAACGACCATCATTTGAAGTTTCACAAAATTCTGAAATTATCGTACATTATGGGATTTTTTTCATTATTGATCGTACATCGTACAGAGGTCTAAATTACCGTACAAATACGATAATTATCGTACGTCTGGCAACACTGGCGATCTGTCACTCCACATTAAACAGCGACAAAACGGCATTTATTGTTTGAATATTGCAATACAATGGACAGAATTTGAAATCTGAGACTTTGTTTCATATTAAAAGTACCAAAGCACAATGCTTATTGCGATTTATTGGATGGGAAGTGTTCCGTCCATTAACTGAAAACAGGCTAGACTAATCGATTCTTGGGATTTAAGAATCGATATCGTTCCGTAAAAATGAGAATCGATTAATATCGAGATATCGATATTTTTTACCCAGCCCTAATAATTTCCCATAACATATTGTCTCAGAATGCTAAACAATTCTCAGCAATACAAGGAGACATACTCTTAAAGCTATTCACATGATTTGCTGGCATTATGGCATTCCCCCTTTTGGCTATATTTATGTTTAGACAATGTTTCACAGTTCACATCAAGCAGCATATATATACTATAAATCAGACACATTAAGTTTGAGTGCAACAAAAACATCAAGTCATTTTCTGACAAAAGACAATGAAAGGACATGGACAATGAAAAGCATGCATATAGTTATATCTGACATGTGCCCTGCAGTGAGACATGCTATGTTTAACCTAAAACCATTACATTATAGGCTAGATGTTTATATTTAACCAAGAGCTTGTAACACTCCAAAGAGAAAGGAAAACTTGAAATCGCATCATATGACCCCTTTAAACCATTGTTTGTTAAACAATTGAGTACATTATTAATTATAAAACATATGTAAAATATGATAATGTAATAAAAGGCAATATAATAAAATACAAATCAATTTGTTACACCACTATTAAATATGGTGCTTTAAAAATAATAATAATAATTAGGCACTACTGTTCAAAGTAAGAACTTTTTCGGGAGGAAATCATACTTTTATTCAGCATGGATATTTATTCTTCATTAAATGGATCAAATGTGACTGTAAAGGTGTTATGACAAATTCTTCTGTACTTTCTATTCATTAAAGAATCATAAAAAACAGCTCATGTGCACTGCCTCTGACTGCAGTAACTCCATGACAGAACTGTGGCTTTGAGTGATAATGATCTGCTCCCAACGAAATCCCTGGCAGGTACAGTAGTAGTGATTGGCTGAGCGGGGACGCTTATCTGTGTCAGCAAAGGTGATTGGCTGCTAGGGGACACCCCCTTCATCTGCTCCCTGGTTAATCAGACTACAGAAGGCAAACGATCTTGTTGCGTCTTCTCAGGGGAGACATAACAATAAACAAGATTAGTTCATGAAACTCTAATTAAATGGAAGAGGATCAGACAGGTGAATGGCACCGGCCTGTTTGTGCCTTCGCAGTTCAAATTCACTTGATATCCAAATATGCAGGCTAAAATGTCAGCCATTGCTAAAGGTCAGTAGCTAACAGCTGAACAAATGCCCTGTGACTCTCATTGATAAACAAAAGGCTTCTGGCAGGCCGGTGGACCTGCAGCAAAGATTTCCTCTGACAAGGTGAAAAAATATAGGGCTGGTGTTTAATATTTCACTCACACACAGGGAAGACCCCTGCTGACAGCGCATAAAATTCAGGCCTGAGGTGAAAGAGGAAAAAAACTAAACATAAATCACATTCAGCATGAAGGATTCCCTCTACATCTGCAGTTCTGAATGTCTGTCATCCATGAGCCGAGAATATGGGCAGTCATAACAGATGAGGTATGACAGAGGGGTTTGCACACTATCTTGTGATATCCGGGGATGTGGCACGTCTATGAATAAGACATAATGCTTTGACAATATAATAAATGTCACACTGTGTAAATACTGTAGCATACATACTGATTATATAGAATGCATTGAAGAAAAAAAAAATAACTACACAAAAATCAGTATTTCAGTGCCACTTATTTATTCTGAACAAATGTTATTTTTGATTTTTTTTAAATGCCAAACATTATGTTTTACTTTACAAGGATTTTCACATTAGATTGTCACCCCTAAGTTTTATTAGTTTAGCAGTTGTATTACTTCTAACTACATGCAGTGTCTTTGGATCATCACATGGTTTTTGTTAACAATTAATTATCAACGGAATTAAACTGTTGCATTTTTTATTATATTTTTAATAATAGAAAATGTTTGTCCTTAAGAAATAATCTTCCTTTTTTTACATTTTATAGAAAATGTCATCTGTCACAACTTACGGTTTCAAGGATAATCTTAGATAATAAACTACAAATATTGTAATTAATAAAAAATAAACTTTTTATGCTTAAATGAAAACCACCCACATGGAAACAGATGGACATTCACCATCACACATACACACCAGCTGGCCAGACATCTTTCAGTATTCTGCATACAAGGTCTATTCAAATGAAAACGCTCCCTCTCATGCTGTTCCAAAACCGACATTATTTTCTTCACAGTGATGTTGTGCTGCTTTTTTTCCATAAAATGAAAGGGAATGGTGACCAAGACCTGCCAAGCACCAAAAATAACAATAAAATAAAATAACAATAAAACTGCTTTGTGTGATGTACAGACTAACATTTAAGTCATTATTCAATCATTTTTGAACTGTCTAATTGAACAGTTGCCATTCACTTTCATTATGTAGGGGAAAAACAGTAACAGAGCATTTTTGTGTTCCACGGAAAAAACAAAATCATACAGGTTCAAAATACCATGAGGGTGAATACGACGAGAGTATTTTCATGTTGAGGTGATCTGTCCCTATCAACCTGTTTACTTTCTTACGTCTTCGTTATACAGTAATATAACTGAGTATATTTTTACACTCGGTTACATTTCGATAGACTTACATTTTTTTGACAAACAGTAACATGAGCATCCCTAAACAAGCATTTAAAAAAAAAAAAGTAAACAGTAATAGTAAACAGGGCTTCATCTGTTGGCGAGTGCTGTCACATGAACAGCCATTAATAATGGATACGGGCTTGGCTTGCGTCTATCGGCTTACAATGGCGAGGAAAATACAGATCATCGCAACATGACAAACAAAGATTTCTCGCTTGAACAATGACAGATGCATTAAGGTTTACAGAAAGCGAGGTTTCTGAGTGTTCGCGTGAGGATCTGTAAGGCCAACAGAGCGAAGCAGTTCATTCATTGACTAGAGCCCGCTGATGCTGCTGCGCACATCCATCCCCCTCAGTTCACGCACGGCACTTACGGCTCAACGCAACTACCGTGAAATAAGCAGAAAGCACTGGGTCATTTCATACCTGAACAGCACGAGTGAAGAAGACACCTGCATCCGACGCTAGTTTCTTGACATTGAAATCCATCGTGTCAGTGTTTTCACTTTGTGCGTTTCGGCAACATCAGCTTGTTGGTTGTCCCTGCAACGGGATCGATTGTGCAGGACGAGGCGGAATCGACAGCGCAACCTGGAGTTACCATCAGTTACATCGGCCATCCTCTACTCAGCCTAGCTGGATGCTCATGATTTTAACCCCCCTACTGTGAACGCATTGTTTTGGGTATCCTAACCATTTTCATTTTTTTTAAATACAATACTTCTAATGAAAAATAATTGTAAAAAGTATCCTCTGTGGTCTGTACAAGTAAACTGTATCATTCCATTAATATTCAATTAATTATAGATAGATAGATAGATAGATAGACAGATAGACAGATAGATAGATAGATAGATAGATAGATAGATATAGATTTGTATTTTCCCTATACTAACACTACAACCTACAGGTTTAAACTGCTCATTTTATGGCTTTCCATAAAAGAAACATTACAGCATCATAAGATACTTGAAAAATGCCCCCTCACATGATTCACAATGTCACTTTCCTTGCTTCCCTCCATTATTTTAATATGTATTTTAAGCACATTTTTAATTTGAATAGAATGTGCTCAAAAATTCTAGCTCCAGCAATATAAATTGGTAAATTACAAATAGCACAATACAAAAGCAGCTTGAGGCCTGAACATTATCAATCTAAACCATTAAAGAAGAACAGATGCAAATATCAAACATTCGTTTTTTTATTATACTGCATAAATATTTCTGAAAGCATTTGAATGTCCACTTGGGTAGTTCCACATAACAGTTTCTGAACGTAACAGACAGCAGGAAGGAAGTGACCCTGCTTTTGTTGATAAGTTGTAAGTCTCAAAAGCCTTTCTTTCTGGACAGCTGGCAATCAAATGGTAACAATGTACTTTTCAATAAATGGGATATATGTAACCCGTATTACATAATTCAATTATAAAAACATGCTTAAACCAAAAGTTACACTTTACTTTGCTCTTATTCAAGTTTTCATAATA